CTAAGACCATCAGAAAACACATCGGAAATATGTTTTTTCTGATAGTCTTAGGTGACCGCTGTGAAAGGGTAGTTCGACCCCCAAAGGGGTCGAGACCCACAGGTTGAGAACCACTGGCCCAGCCCCTTGGAGGAGCCTGTGCTGGAGGTGGAGCAGACCCTTACTAAGGCAAGGCCCCTTTTGAGACTACATCAGGTGGTTAGGAACTTTTTCCTTTTTTTTCTGCCAAGGGCCATTTGGATATTTATAACCTCATTCGGAGGCCACACAAAATGATCAACTTAAAAATTAGCCTGCTATATTTAGTCAAACATTTAATTAACTACCCCCAATGTGATGGCTGGAATTGCTTCTCTTGGGTGAGGCGTGTGATGTTAGCTCGTATGGATGACTACACTAGCTCGTATGGATGACTTCACGTGCCTTATACAGCCCTCCGACTGGACAGTCCTCAGCCCTGCTCCACACATGAGGTAGGTTCCGCACACTACTACCTGCCTGCGCTTAGCTGCACTGCGGTAGTTTGTGTGTTGCTGGGAGGCTGGGAGCTGTGCTGTCAGGATTTTACACAGCAGTCGGTCGTCTGGGATGGACAGGTTTCTATGGTACTTGCAGTTTGAGCAAGACTAGGAAGAAAAGTCTGGCACCAACTGCTGCCAATTAGCCAAGTGAAACGTTTAGCCACCCACAAGGTTGGCAGGCAGTACCATGGTTACCGCAGTGCAGATGTCTAAGACCAGACATGGTGGCATTCTGTGGTCCATGCCGTCACCACGAGTCAGAGCCGAGATGACAAAAACTAACCACAACAGGTCTAGGTAATAGAATAAATCTAAATAGGTCTGTAGAGAGCCTTGGTGGTACATGGTCATGCATTCTGCTGCTAACCCAAAGGTGGGCAGTTTGAACCCACTGGCCTCCCTGCAGGAAAATACTGTGGGAGTCTGCTTCCATAAAGAAATCCTCTGGGGGCAGTTAGGCTCTGTCACTATGCATTAGGACTGGCACCCTGGCGGTGGTTTCAGGTAAGTATTGCATTGTTAACGTCAAGGTCAGTGGCTCAAACTCATCAGCTGCTACAAGGGAGCAAGAAGAATCGGTCTGCTCTTGTAAAGATGCGCAGCTTTAGAAACCCCAGACAGGGTCAGTAAGGGTTGGAATCAATTCAATGACAGTAGCTAAGTTGGTAGTGACTTGATGGAAACTGGTTTGTTTGGATTTGGGTGTTGTTTTTTCTTGGAAACAGGTCTTAACTTGTGCCAATGATTGGATAATTTCACAAGCAGCTGAAGTCCACTCTCTTTGTTGCTTTCCTGTGTCTTACTTGTAACAATGCTCCCAGAAAGAAGGCAATTCGACTGACAAGCCTCTGCTGACTTCCCTTCACCAGGGATGCTCGGGGCTCTGTACATACATCCTCATTATCCACCTAAGACGCGGGGTGACTTGAGAAGTCAGCCCTCGCCGTTGTGCAGGCAGAGACATCCATGAAAAGAGAAGATGCTGACTTGCAAAGTGCCCATCTGGGGAACATCCCATCTGTACCAGCCATCACAGTTCATCAGTAACTGGAGAGACTTTATGCTCTGGAAAGGCACAAGGGCTCTCTGAGTCCTGTCAGGGCCCAGGCCAAACACTGCTCCTTTAATACCTCAAAGGAGCTGTGGACTATAGCCCAAGAGGAGGTGCAGCCAAATTCTGAGCAATTGGGGAGAAGGAGGCTTCTGACGCATCTGGTGAGAGCAGACAGGGCGGGCCAAAGTCCACAGACGAGACCCGAGTGTCTGGCTGCAGAGCCCTTTGCTAATGATAACCAAAGGGCCAGCCAGGAGGTAGGCACAGTAACTACCGACATCAATTAACTTCCAAAGGATATGAAAGGTAACTTTTCCAAGCAATCTCAAAGAGAAGCAGCACACACTGCCATCCATTCTGGGGACCAGAAGGGACATCTCTGGTTGTACATCATCCTCTTCCTTTTAGGCTCTTTGAGCTGGGGAAGGAGCTGGCATCCCTAATCTATGGGCTGTGAAACACAAGTTCAAGACACGAGTGGATGGAGAAGAACACTCAATGATAAGTTCAAAGACCTGGGCTCTGATCTCAGTACTTTTGAACATTGGGCACATTCCTCCCCTTCTTTGAGCTTTGTCTTCCTTCTCTGTCAAATGTGCCTTTGGGGCCTAATGTTTCCAGATCCATTATTTCCATAATGTCAAGTCTTCTGAATGTATGAGCTCATGAGTTCTTTAAAAGGGAAGCTCTCATGTCTTCTTGAGCAGAACCCGGTTTGATTTTTGACCAGCCTTGCAGATAGTCCCTGGCCCATGGCACAGTGTAGGTAACGGAGAGCAACGATTCTGGTTTGGTAAGTCATGTTGAGGTTGTATGGACCTCTCTATTTTTTTCTCTGGGAATAGTTTCTTCTAATCTACTCGGCTCATGGCCATCGTATGATTCACCTCTCCAAACGTCCTGCAAGGGAAGGAAGGTACAGACGTGATCTAGGAGTGAAGGTCTGGGTTTGAGTGAGAGGCTTCCAAAGCAATTTGCAAGTGGTTATTGATGCTTAAATCCTCCTTTATGAAATGATAATATGAAGCCCTGGATCTGCTTCAGAATAATTCAGTGTGTGTGTGTGTGTGTGTGTGTGTGTGTGAGAGAGAGAGAGAGAGAGAGACAGAGAGAGACAGAGAGAGAATCAATGAAACATATCTGGCCAGCAGTTGAAACTGACTGGTGCATGGGGATTTATACTCGTCTTTTCTATTATTTAAACATATATTTTAAATTCCTGCTAACAAAAGGCCCTTTGGAGACTAACTCTAGCCTTTCCCTCTACTCTCATTTCACAGGCCCATTCTGAGAAGCCTCTGGCATGGTGACATCACACCACTCAGCCTGTACACACAGTACACACAGTCCCATCTGTTTGTGGGCCTTCTCTTCATCAGTCACCGTAGTTAATCATCCCTGCCTCTGAGATCCTGCAGGCTGTATCGTTGTAGATTCCAACTCACAGCGGCCCTGTATGTCAGAACAGAACTGCCTCTGGGATTTGTAGGTTGTAACCTTCATGGGAGCAAATCACCAAGTCTTTCCCCCACGGAGGGGTTAGCCAGTTCAAACCACTTACACCACCAGACAACACCTTATAGCCTGTTTGCACACTTCTATTTGAACACCTATCACAACATATTGCAACAGTTTGTTGGCTTTCTCTGCTGCTGTGACCTGAGGATGCTCCTCTGGGAGCCCAGTGCTTGGGGATGGGGGTGAGGGTGGGGGATTGGGAGGGTGGGAGGGTGGGAGGTCATCAGCACCTGCTGCCAGAAGCAAGGATAGCAGAATCCCTAGTTACCATTTTTCTGAACACTTACTATGTGCCACACACCGCCCGAAGCTCATTACATAGCTTTCTCATTAAGTCCTCGCCACAAGTGGGTATTATTAACAGCATCATTATCCTACAACGGGAGAACCTGTCTCAGAAGGTCACTGGCCCAAGGTCACATGTTGGCAAATCGCAGAGTTGGGATTTGGACTCAGATGGGAAGCCAGCCTGCCCTTCTCCCTCCCACACAGAAGAAGCTTTGTCTTCTCACCACCCTATCTGCGATCTCAAGACCCCCCTCTCTCTGCTGATTACACAACAGGCCCAGCAATTTGGGAGCTTGGGTTTGAGGCCCAAGTCAGGTACTAAATTGCTGGCTGACCTTGGGCAAATCACCTCTGCTCCTAAGCCCCTTCTCCCAGAGAGGTGCTCAGAGAGCCAGAGGATCACGTGACCCGAGGGCCCTCCCAGCTTGGGCTCCAGAGAAAACCTGCCTCTTTGCACTAGGTTTCCGGTTGCGAGCTGGCTTCCTGCTTGGGAACCTCCCAGCTTCTCAGTCTCTTGTCTTGCTCAGTATCACCTTCCAGAGCCAAGCCACCTTCACCACCTGCTGCCCGGCTCGCCCCCTCCTCCTTCCAGGCGACTGGGATTTCTCCGGAGGTGGGGGCGGAACTCTGGGCCGGGCGGGTCGGGGTGGGGACAGGGAGCCTGTAGCTGCCCGGGAGTCGGCTTCCTGGCGCTTTCTTGGCCTCTTCCCCCCACGGAAACTCAGCCTCACACTTTCTAGGGATATTCTGGGGACAGCCAGGGTCAGGATTGCAGCTGCCAGCCGCAGTGATCTGGGCTGGCTCTGCAAAGTCGGTGGACTTGCGCTCGGGTGGGGGGTGGGGTGGGGATCCGGGTCTGGAGGGGAGAAGGGGCGGCCCGCTCCTCTCTCCTAGCCCGGAGCTCAGCCTAGGCCCATGCCGCCCGACAGGATCCGCGACCCTCTGGGCTCGTCTTCCCTCCACCCTCCTTCCGACTCCCAGTTGGGACCCGCCATTGCACGGCCCACAGTAGGCCTTGGCGAGCTGCAGACCCGAGCCAGAGACGCGCGATTCTCGCTGGCCGCCCCCCCTTCCTCCCTCCCCGGTCCCCTGGTCCGCCTCTGCCACTGCTCTGCGGGAAGCCGACATCCCCAGATCGAAGTCTCCAGCCCCCGGGGAGCGCGGAAAGCCCCAGACCTTGGGCTTTGTTCCCAACTCGCCAGGAGGCGCGCAGCCGGAGCTGGCCCCCACCGCGGGGATGACACGAGGAGCGGAGCCCTGGGTGGCCGAGGGGCTGTCCTCGGCGGCCCGGTACGGATCCGGGACCGATCCGAGAGCGAACACCGCCGGGCGCCGCTGTCCGCTTGCGCGGTGCCGCTCCGGGAGAGAAGCCGGCTGCGCGCGGGAGCTGTCCCCGCGGTGGTGCTGAAGCGAGGAGCAGCCGCAGGAGCTCTCCCCTGGTCACCCAAGAACCGCCGGCGGCTGAGCGCTACTGGGCGAGCCAGGAAGGGCCGGGGAAAGCCGCCTTCGGGGAGCTTTGCAGCGCGGGGCCTATGGCTAGGGTTTCTCTGGCGAGCCGGCTCCAGCGGAGGAGGTGGCGGCTCAGCAACAGAGAGCGAGCACGCGCGCGTTCTACGAACCTGTTGGAGGCAGCAGCTTCTCCGCGGCTGAACAGGGCGCCCGGGACTGCGATTCTGGCCCGCCTGTCGCTCCCCACTCTTCCTTGCCTCCTCCGCTGAGGCGCTCCCTCCTGCCTGGGCTCGTAGATGTGCACGCTGGGGGCGCCGAGCCCCTTGTTGGGTCCGCCCCGAAAGTCAGTCGAGCTGCAGAGCACAGCGCAGAGAGGCCTCCCCCGAGGGCAGACCCGCTCCCAGGGAGACCTAAGCTTCCTGAGAAAGTAGGCGGGGGTTGGCTGCGGGGACCAGGGGAAGAAAGACGGTGCCCACAGAGGTGGCTGTGAAGCCAACGGGGGAGACATGGGGGAGTTCCCCTAAAGGCGCTTCTGCACTGAAGTTTGGGGGTCTAGAGGTTCCTCTCTAGGGGTCCTGCCTTGGAAAAAGCTCTCCCCCTCCCCGTTTGCAGAACTTTTATCTTCTCGGTTGCAAATCCCATCCTTTGAATCTAACCACCTCTCTGTTCTCATTCCAGCAAATCAGAGAGAGAGCGCTTTCTAATAAAATGCTAACGTTGGGGCATGGCACTCAAAAGTCCTTTGCCAGCAAGGCTCACTGGAAGGCCAGCTGAATTCCGGCCAGAACAGGGGACCACTCAGGCTCACCCCAGGGCCCTTGCACCTGCGGCTCTGTCTGCGGGAATGTTTCCCCCTACTGTTTTCTCTGCCAATTAAAGTGCTTCATTCTCAGTGAAGACTTCCCCGATGGACTCCTAAGCCACAGTTATTTGCTTCCTCTCCTCGGACTCGCTCAGGACTCCCCTAAGCCTCTATATTGGCCTCCCCACGCTGTATTATACTTTCTCATGCGTCTGCATCCTCAGTTACCAGGCTCATAAAAATCAAGTTCACTTCTAAGTTCCCTCTGCATCTCCACCTCCCGATGGGGTAACTGACACACAGGAGGCGTCAATTACGTTTGCTGAATGGCCCCTCAGAAGCACAGGCCCATCTAACTTCCCTTTGTTCATGTTGCTGCTCATTTGATTGCTGAATTTGGACCACAGCCTGCAAGGCCCTACGAGGTGACATCCTTGATTAACTCTCCTGTCCTGTTGCCACCAACTCTCCTCTGTGTAACTCCACCTACATTTTGTACTAAGCTCCCCACTCCCCATACCTTTCCCCCCCCCTTCCAGTTGATTTCTCCACTGGAAGCCTTCATTCCCTTGATCTTCATATCGGTCTAGTCATTTGGATCTCAGCTCAAATGTCACGCCTCGAGAGGGCTTCTCTAGCAAATGTATAAACAAAATACACTCAGAAGTGTGCATCAGCCTCATTTGTTTCATTTTTCTCTTGAACTTACTGTGTTTGTGCATTTCCTCGTTTATGTTTGGCCTTTCCCCAACTAGAAAGGGAGACCTACTAGGACAAGTATCAGGCCAGTTTTATTTACCACAGTGTCCAGAGAGGAACTGGCCCTACATCAATGCATCTCCCCAGGAAGACTTGATCCTGGGACGTCTTTTGCTACAAATCAAGCAAAAAGGCTTGTTAGGAGGATCAACCTGGAAGAAGGAGTGAGAGGAAGGGATGAGCCAAGATAAGTGGCTTCAAGCTTACAGGCCTGAATCACAGCCCCCCTTTATGACCAGGAATAACAGAATGATGACTTCTACGCACTTCTCCACATTAAAAACAACAACAACCACATTCACAACCACAATCTCATTTTGAGATCCAAAGAGATAGACTGACTTGTCCAGGACCACACAGCATGTCAGTGGTGATGCTATCCCGGGTATTGTGCTACATGCTGTGGAGCTAGAGTTCCAGAGCCTTCTATTAGTAGAAGACATAGACATGTAAAGAATACAATTGGATGCAGAACTCACTGCCATTGAATCAGGTCTGACTCAGAGCAAATCTATAGGACAAGGTTGAATCGCCCCTGTGGCAGTTCCAAGATGGTAACTCTTCACGGGAGTAGAAAGCCTCATCTTTCTCCTGCAGGTGTGGCTTGTGGTTTCAAACTGGCAGCCCCACTTGTAACCCACTATGCCACCAGGGCTCCATCATTTGATACCTACTCAACAGTAATTCTCAACCTGGAGAGGGGTAAGGGGGGGAGGGAGAAAAAAATAGGTGGTAGGTTAGAGTCAGAGTAATCTGCAAGTCTCTTCTGTAACAATTACAATTTGAGTGCTTGCTAGGTGTCTGATAAGTGATTTCTGTATTGTTGCCGTTAAGTGCTGTCAAGTAGGTTCTGGTTCAGAGCAGATCCTATGGACAACATTTCACTCTCCATTTTGTAAACAGGAAGCAGAGTCTTAACGCAGGTTAACCTACTTGGCCAAGGTAATGAAGCTGGTAAACAGCTGAGGTGGGACTCAGCCTGGGCTTGTTTGTCTCACAGCCTGACCTTTGAGCCACTATGCATCCTGCATTTATAGAATTAGAAGTTCTGGTGAGCCTGGGATCTGAAGATGATTCTCAGGTTGTTCTAATACGAGTCCCCTCCTTTTGAGAAACACTCACGCAGAGAATGCCGTGAGAGCAGTGGAAGGAAGAGTGGACACTACCCGTGGGAGGAGTTACTCGAGGTTGAAGTTGGACATGAAGGATTAAGTGAGGGTTTCCAGGTAGGTAAGGGGTGGACAGAAGAAGCGAGATATTTAAAGGACTTGAGGTTTGAGATGGGGAAATTGTTAGTGGCTTGAACTCTCTGAATGGTACAGAGATCCAAGCTCACCCAGCGGTGCCTAGGAAGGAAGACCTGGCAATCTACTTGTGAAAAACCACAAGCCAGTGGAACCCCCATAGAGTGTAGTTCTCCTCAGACCCATGCAGAGTCACCACGAGTCAGCGTGTCTCAACAACAACTTTTAAAAAACTGTTGAGTAGTTTGGTGTGGATAAAGTGTAAGCCTGACGTGGGCAGTAGGGATGGACAATTAGGCTGGAATTTGGTTTGGATTTGACTGCCATGCCTTTATCCCATAGGCAGTAGAGAGCCAGCAAAAGGCAGAGATCTGCTGTAACACCTGCGACACCACCTTAATCATCCCCGTAGTAGCAACCTTGAATCAATCTCTTAGAATTGCAAAGCACTTTCCACTAACATGAGAAATGTTACTCTAGGGTGAAGTGGACCTGAAGCTCCTTGTCGGCATCATGCCTGTGGGCTTGCGCTCACTGTCCCCTGGCACCTGGCCGAGAATTGGAACCATTGGAGGTGCTCAGTAAACGCAGGCGTGTAGGCAGTCCAATCCACAGGCTTTGACAATCATTTATGTAAGAGAGAAGGGAAAGGGAAGCATCATTTAATCCAGAATGGCAGAACTCTTTGAACAACTCACTCCAGAAAGTCAAATTCTACCCTTCCCTTCCCAAGAGCACCTGGGGGAGACTGAAATTTGGCTCTCCAAAGTGGTTGCTGTGTAATAGTAGCAATTTTCCTCTGTTATACACAGGAAAGCTGATTGCACCCTGGCGACCACCACCTGGCCAAGATAGGATTTCCTCTTCTGCATGACTTTATGGTTTTTGGCTTGTAGATCTAGTCCCGATGGTCTCTATTATGTGGCAGTAACATAATATGCTGCCATTTGTTTTAGTGTTTTAAAGGGAAATCACCATGCTAATGAAACTCCAGTCTTGGCTCAAGAACTAAAACCTACCTTCTGTCTCTCCACCTCTCTGGCAAGTCTACACGGACCCAGATGATTGCTAATTTGTAGAAAGAAAGCTGACTTGTACCTGGTCCCTCTAACATCCTTGACATATGTGAACCCCATGAGGTAGAGACCACTCTTATCTTCCACTTTTATGGAAAGGAAAACCCAGGAAAAGGAACTCAAAAGACTTGTCCATGGTCACCACCAGGCTGTCTGACCTTTAGGTTTTCGGGCTCCAATGTTTACACTCAATCACCTCCCAAGTCAAATGTTTACATTGTGTTTCTTCTCAGGCCTGTGTGACCCTAGACAAGTCATTTTCTCTCTGCAAATCTTAATGTCCTCTTCTGTGAAGTAGGGATAAAAATAACTATCAAGGAAAATTACTGTGTGGAAAATAAGCAAAGTAAAATATCTCACTGCCATAGCGTCACCGAGACATTATAGATCGGGGTAGAACTGGCCCTGTGGGTTTCTTAGATTGTATCTCTTTATGGGAATAGACAGCCTTTCTCTTGAGGAGCGACTGGTACTTTCAAACCTCAGACTGAAAGGTCAGCAGCCCAACACGTAACCAAATAGTGTTGTCCATGTGGTGCTGGTCCCTTGCCTGGCCTTCCTTATCTCCGCCTGTGACTCTCCCCTCTTCCCAGATTTTAACCCACAAACCCAGGGGCCACTGTTGAATCCTCCCTTTTTCCAAGCATCAATTCATTGGCAAGTCATTTAAACTCTTCCACCATAACTCTTTAATCCACAAAAGCATCATCCCCTTCTGGACTGATACTTAGCTGGTCTCCGATTCCACTGCTGCCCCCCAAAATTGTCTCTGAAGTATTCACATACATGCTCACACAAAAATGTTTCCTGTGAAGAGCACGGTTAATTATCCCCAAGTGAGCACAGTTGTGTAACCAGCCCCCAGATAATGAAACAGCATTACAACTCCTCTGAAGATCCTCCCAATTTCCACCCTTACTTTCTCCAAAGACAACCACAGATCTGACTTCCGACACTATAGATTGATTTCACTGATTGTTGAACTTTCTAAAATGGAGCCATATACACAGCTGTCCTTTGGTAACTGCAGGGGATTAGCTCTAGGACCCCCATGGATACCAACATTATAGATGCTCAAGTCCCTTATATAAAACGGCATACTATTTGCAGACACACACACACCTTCTTGTATACTATAAATCATCTCTTGAATACTTACAATACATAACGCGATGCAAATGCTGAATATAGCATTTTATGTTCCTTTGAAGTCTTTGAACGCTTGCTTCAACCACTTAATTGCTTTTTTAAAATTCTAAAATATATTCAGTTTGTGGTTGGTCGACTCTGCTGATACAGAACTGCCCATATGGAGGGTTGACTTTATGTAATATTTTGTGTTTGGAGCCCTGGTGCTGTAGTGGTTCTGCACTGGGTTGCTAGCTGCAAGATCAGCAGTTCTAAATCACCAGCCACTCGGAGAGAAAAAGGTGGGGTTTTCTCCTTTCTCCCCCAGTAAAGAGTTACAGTCTCAGAAACCCACTGGGGCAGTTCTACTCTGTTCTAT